CGCGAAAAGAAAAAAAAATCAGGTCGCTTGCATCCATGTTTTCTGCTTACTTTTGCAGAGCACTGTCCATTTGTCCAAGTTAAAATCTGTATTAATCTCGAGTCTCTTACTCGTTATTTCAAGAAGGGGCGCGCGCGCCGTTATCGTTGGGATCGACAAAAGCTTTAATGAAACGAGGTGCGCGCATTTTTAACGGGCAGCGGAACTTCAAACTGGCGTAGGTATATGGTAATGTCACTCATAAATCAGGCAGTCGAAATCGAGCGAGCGCGTTCGCGCGACGAGGAGCCGAACGTAACGACGCGCGCGTTACGTATGGCCCCCGCAGCGATTTTATCGCGAGGGCCGCGCATTAGCCGTAACGGAGTGCCGAGAAGCGTGTCCCCCCCCCCCCTCGTTGTAATTGTATCGATCACGGCCCGGGCGAGTTTCGACGACGGATAAAGGACGCAGCTTCCGACGCGACTGACCCTGACATTACGGGAAGCCCATAAATTGGCAGCGTACGCGCTGTATATCCCGCTCGGCTCGCGGGGTCGACGCGGTGCCCGAGCTTCGAAGCGATAGCGCGATACGGTCGATAATGCGCTCGGGAAAGGCTCGCGCGCACGGACAATCGACGTCGGATCGAGCGCTCGACGCCGCGCGCGCGCGCGCACAACGAGATAATACGTTAGACGCGGTGCCAAAAAGCGAGGCGAGCACTGGCGCAACGAGAAAGAGAGAGGTCACTTCCCGTGCAATTATCGGCAGCGCCGCGGCCACTTTTACGTAAGTCTCCCCGTATCAATGTAAATAACGCGCGAGCGGGCCCTGCGCGATATCGTTGGATGATTCTCTCGCGAATATACCGTTAGGCGGACCGAGAGCTCCTCCTCCTCCTCCTTCCGCGCTTTCGAAAAATAGTGCATACAATGCGTAATAACGGGCCGATTCTCTCCTCGTCTTGGACTCGTTTCTCCGCCGCGGGTTCGGCCGTGGCCGGCAGATTAGAATCTTAATTAATTGACATGAGACTGCATAGTGCTCGCGATATTGTTCGCGGCAGGATTTTTCGTCGATACGTTGGGACGATTCTACCCTCGTTGCGCGGGCTCATTGTGCGTTTTGCCAGGAAACTGCTCGGCCGTTTATCTTTATTGAATCACGGCTCGGATCGTGTCGAACCAAGTTTTCGTTTTGTTCGCTCGAAAATATCGGCGCTCCGCGTACTCTCCAGTGATACGCCGCGGTGCGCTTTATCCGTATTATTTCAACTTACGGACAGGACTTGACTTCTTTTCCGTGCTCATTCAACTTCTGTCGAGTGCCAAGATGTGCATGACGATTCATGGACAGCAGCTTTTTACGTGCGAGAATTTAAGCCGACCCCTTGAACATTTTAATCCTCGAGGTAAGGATTCACTACGCTATTCGGCGAACTGGCCTAATAAGAAAAAAAGCTGAGGCGCAACCGGGCGCTCATTGTCGATATACATAAGTCCCCAAATAAGGAAAACCAAAGATAATTACATAAACCATGTTAATTGCAACTAGTTGAATTCATTATGTAAGAAAACTAACGAGCACCTAACGTAGCAAACAATTAATTGACGTGCGTCCTTGGCGCATAACGCACATCCAATGCTCGAGAGCGAGAGAGAGCAGTAAACGCCCGAACAATCGTTTGCAAAATGGCGGGGGCGCGCAGCAGCAACGCTTCCGCAAATTTTACGAGGCCGCGCTATGATAATGCGCGGAGAGCGCGAGCAAGGAGGCATTAACGAGTGCGCGGCTGCACGGGCAGAGCACGTGAGAATCGGCGCTGCTTGGCCCATTACGTGAACGGCGCGCGGCGCGCTTACGTAAAAGCCGCTCGCTAAGCCCCCCCCCCGACGGCCAATGATCCTGATAAACGCGCGACGACACCCTTCCTCCGTCGCGACGATCCCCGGCGTGACTTGTGTCGCGTCGCTCGCTCGAAACAGCTTTCCCTCGGCGAGCCGGCAGAGCTCGCGGCTGCGCCCCGTTCGTGTCTGGACCTCGACGCGGCAGGCTGCTGGCTCGTCGACGGAGGATGCGCGTTCCCACGCGCCCGTCGGCCATTCGGGAAAGCGAGCCCCACCCGCGTCGGATCGTCGAAAATCGCCACGAAAAGCTCGCTTCGCGGCGCGACGGACTAGCTCGGGCCGACGGCTTATTAGCGCGCGCGCGCGTGATAAATAACGTCTTCGCTCGGCTAACGCGCATAATTCAATCAACGCCGAGCGAAACGCAAGCGCGCGTCCGCGCTCGATGCACAATGGGCGACGCTCGAAAGAAAGCTCCGCGCGAGAGCAAGCACGTGCACGCATCTATCAGACCGAGCGGCGCATGCATTCATCACTCTTTCCGCCTTCGAGTCCTTTCTCTTTCGAGCTCCCCCGATGTCTCCCTTTCTTCTCGTACATCGATAAGCCACGATTGCAACGAATGATCTGTATAGATTCGAAAAGGCATTCTCGCCGCGGGGATAGCATTCGGGTTACGCGCGTGCGCCGAGTCAGCGCGCCACGCCGTCGGCCATAGACGAGCTAGGCGAGATCTTAATAGGGGCAAGTGTCGGAGCTCCTAATTGCCCCAAGGCTGCGATGTCAAATCTGTTAGCCAAGCTTACAAGTAACGGCAGTTCCATGCAACGATTGCATGCCTGAATTATGCGTAACCGCCAGCTTCGAGGATTAACGTTATCTTTAACTTATAATTGTGATAATTATTGTGAATGGCTAGACCACTGCTATACGTAAAGTTCCAGTGAAAGATCGACAAGTATACGAGGAACGTTCGAATGCCATTCGACTATAAATGGCAATGGGATTGATTGGCCACTCGAGGGAAAGAAAAACTATTGCACTAAATGGATAATAACCACGCCGAATATTGATAATGAAATAGTTGACAAAAACGAGCGAAAACTTGATAACAGGACAGAAAAATCACGATTAATAATGAAAAGGATCGAGCTATACCGAGCCTCGTTGAATTGGATGGTGGATCACAAGTGCTTTTTTAATAGGCAAATCTCAGTGTACACGCCGAATAATGTTTTTTTGCAAGTAACTATCATTAACAGGAAGCACTACGCGTCCATGCTGTGTAGCCATGCTGTGCAGCTGAACGACTGACAACGAGCTACTGACGTTTCGCACTTTGTTTCACTCGGGATTGCACGATTTACTTGTAATTCAACAGCCCTAGAAGAAGTGAATGTTTGTTAAAAAAATTATGAACATACGTGAAATCCGTCATGCACTTATGAATTTGCAAAGAAACCGCAATGACCTTCGGTAAGATTGGACTTTTATTCGTGAAATGCGGTTATAAACTACGATTGTCAGGAAAATTATGGCATTCGATATACTGCGAAAGTTCTCATAAGCTACTCGACGCAACTCGATGGGATATGCTAACGAGGTCATCCGTAAAAGTGACGAAAGAGCGAGGGCACTGATCTCTCACGACGTCACTAGAGGGTTAATCGGGATTGATAAGAGCTACCGCGGCGATCGATCTTCGAGGGGAGGACGTGGAAAACGTGTCTATTATTGAGCGGCCCGTAGCCGCGGGACACATGCTCTCTCGTGAGTTACGGTGCTCCGCGGCCGATCGAGTCGCGATATCGCTGATAACCACACTGGCCGCCTATGCTCAACGGTTGTTTAGCGTGTATAGCGGTGAATTTCAAGCATGTCCATGTTGATCGCGAATTAACAGACCCGTTGATTGATTCTCAAAGTTGGCGTTAAGTAATATTATCGATTTATCTAATAGTAGAGAAAAATTGATTTTATCATTTCTTAATAAACTTCAGTCAACACTATAATTAGTAATGTTCGTTTCATTTAACCCCTCAGATTTATAAAATTATTGCAATAGCAGTGTTATACAAATAAGGAGAAGGTCTATGTTCTGCATCGCCTATACTTTGCAGAATTTTGAAGAAATTAATTCTTGTAATCTCCAATGAAAATCAAGTGTCAGATCCATCTCAAAGGCTTTTCATCCTCACATATAGACGCTTTAATGTGGAAAATCACTAAAATTCAGACTGAGTACTTTCGTTTATAGGTTGAATTAGACTTGACTTATTACAATTTAGATAAGTGATATAGATTGTCGTGATGAGCAGCTTTCATTTGGTATCCCGAAGGACAAAAACTAACAATTTTCGACTGAGATAATTCCGTAAATGTATAAAAGATCATGAAAATAATAGAATATTTAATGACATTTTATAAAGGACTTTCAAACGAACGAATTTTTATTTTGTCAAAGATCTGCAAAGATTGGTATTTTGAGCAAAAAATAAAACAAGATATTGTTATTATTTGTTTTTCTATTAAATTTCAAAAAACCATGATAATTTATGTAAATTTTTTTCGACCGATGTCAAGGTTTCTAAGACTATCACGTAAGAATGCGCAATGAGAAATACATTACTTTTAGATCCTATTAATCCGCGCTTAATAATGTGTAGCTTTGTGAAATTGACCGTACAACTGATATAATTACTTGAGATAGTGTAATATGATCACGACAAAAATAGAAATTATTTTTATACAACGAGAATGAAAAGCAAACAATAAACAATCGACAGCTGCGTTCACTCAGACGAACTATGAAAAATGTCAGTGACTTCGCTAGAATTAATGTCGTTCATCGACCAAAGTTGCTGTCGAATGAACTCGTGAAAGTTGGTGTTAGATAGGTATTTGTACTTTTTGTATCCAGAGCTAGGTAGCAACTGATATTAATCCTATTTTGCGTTAATGAAGTGTGAGCGCACGTTCTTGTAAATCGCCACGTTGCGCTCATTGCAATAAGAAAATATTGCATGGAACATTAGAAATAAATATTTATCATTATAAGCACGGCTATTGTGTGTGTGTGTTTGTTCCGTGCGACAACGTCAAGCTGCCTGCTGTTGACAGTTGTATATGCACTAAGAAATGCTGTCATTCGATTTTTCTCTTATTTTGCAGGCACTATCCAAACGAGCGCTTTGGCGTTGAGAGACCGTACAGAAAGAAAGTATAGTAGGCGATAGTTTTAACGAGATTCTGGGATTGACGACAGCTTGTCATTACTTTAACTGATGAGCAATGGACAAAAACTACGTCAAATGTATTAAAATGAAAATTCAGAATTTAATTATATATTTTGCGTACAAGTTTTACTGAGTAAGTTAAAAGAAACATTTGTACCAACAATTTATAAAATATTTCTAGATGGAAGAAGAACGTTGAAAGTAATTAAAATCATTGAAACATAGAGAGTACCGTCATCGAACAAAAAAGTTGAATTCTAATTTGTAATGGTTCTCGTATAAATGTTTATTTAAAAATATTTAGTAGTTGATTAATTTATGCCAAAACGTTCAATGATATGTTTTATTCCATTTTTATACGATATTTTACTGAAAGCTTAATCCCATGATTATGACGTAAACAATGTCGTGCTGTTTCTATATTGAATAAATTATCTTCATCTACTGATGGAGTTAACTACTGATGTTTTAATTTGGCGTGTACATTGGCAATAGTCACATAAATTCCATGATTTTAATATGAAATAAAGATGGCTAAACACTCAAAGTTTCCCCATTTTATCGTAGTTTGAACGGTTTTTCTTGAACACCTTGATAACGCCCTCTAACATGAATGTTCCACTACCAATGAAGTACTTCGTAAAAGTATTAGATCTGAAAACCTTGTTTTCGAAACTTTTCGAAGACATTAAGTTTGCGAGAATCTTAGCAACGAAACATCTCACTCGAAACTCACGGTTATCTGATATGTCAGCAAAGCTGCCTTGTCTCATTAGCCTTTGGTCAAGTCCTCCAATCATAGAACTACTCTCTCTCTCTCTCTCTCTCTCTCTCTCTCTCTCTCTCTCTCTCTCTCTCTCTCTCTCCCTCTCTCTCTCTTTCTGGCGTGCACGAGTAACTGGTCGCTCGAGTAAAAAGGTATATAAATTTCCATCAGAAGCGGCAAATGGAATAGTGCAAGAGCATTAATCAGCTACGTGTCTCTTTCTCTCTCTCTCTCTCTCTGCCTCTAACTACGCGAGCTAGAATAAATCGCCGTGCTACCTCTCGCGAAGTATAACGTCACCGAAAGAACGCGCGCGCGTCAAAAGTAGGCGAGTCCGCCGTTATAGAGCGCTTCCCTCGCTCAAAAGCTAGCACGGCGCCTTCTCTTTTTCCAACCTCTGTTCCGCGCGCGACACCGTTCCGCTAGTCCTCGCGATCAGCATAAACTTCGTATTGCTTCGTTATTTTGCACTTGGCCACGCTGCCTCTCGTCGACGGCAATTAATCCGCACGAAATGTTTCTTCGCAAATGACTCGCATTCATTCGCGCCATAGAGTGCGTTCGACTCGCTTCCGCGATCGACATTTAATGCGACTTGCGCGAGCTTCACCATCATTTCAAATCCGATCTGAAGTGATAGCTGTGAAGTTTACTGTTAGCACTCAACTTCGACTTCATATTCAACATGTCGATTGAGATGCACTGATCGAGCTTCAAGCTGTTTAATCTACCTATGCATTCCATTTACTTCGCTATTTCCATTTGCGCACCGTAATAATCTGGCTGACGCGAGATCCTTCCGCAAAATGGATTATAGACCACGTTTATTTCACCCATTTCAAAATAAACGCCATCCGCGAAAAAAAATAAATGGTATACACGCATCAACACTTCAGACATTTAGCACAATTATTTCCATTCATTATCCTCCATTTCATGCACGTAAAATAGCATATATTAAAATAGTGAATCGTGATTGTAATTTTGCAAACCAATGAGTCAGCCAGTCGTCTAAAGAAAGGCCGTAAGAGTCGTAGAGGAGAAATGGGCTAGAGAAACAGTGAACGAGATCTCGTTTTCCAGAAATCAAAGACAATTAAAAATAAAAGCCGAGTGGCGCAATAATTCGCATTCCAACAAGCGGCAGCGCGCTCGTGCGACCTTACAAAGGTCGGCCGCGATCTCGTGGTCGACGCGGCCGCTATTATCCGAGATTCCGCGAGATCGGAGAGACAGAAAGAGAGAAAGAGAGAGAAAGAGAGAGGCGGCAATTGAATCGATAAGATCTATTCTACACCGCGCGCCGCGCACCTGCACAACGCAATGAAATTCTTTTGCAGCCAGTACACCGTTGTTTTTTTTACTTTTTTTTTGCAATGCTGATCGAGTTCTTTTTATTTCAAGCTCGCGCACACAGCTGAATATTTCGAATTGGCGTTCGCGTAAAACTGCGTACGCGCGCCGTAAAGTAAATACATCGCTTTCGAGGTAACGCGACGCTCGCGAAGAACAACGTAAAGAAAAAAGAAAAGAAAAATGCAGAAACGAGAAAAGCTCGAGGTGTCTCGTGTAAACAGCGAAGAAAGCCGATCGCTTCGGTGGTCTAAAACTGACAGAGATTTGCGCCGCGACGGAGATCATGCCAATTAACGGGATTCGATCGGCGCGCTTTTACTGCTCCGGCTTAATCTCGCAATCTCCGCGTCTTCTAGAAAACATACGTGTGTGCACAGGAAAGTTGCGGATGTTTTCTCTTTCGCTTGGCTCGCTTCTTTTTCGACTTTTCCGCTCGCGACGAGGCGACGATCGAAACGAGCTCTACCTACATCTCGCTGGGAAAAGATTGACGCTTGCCTCATTTTCGAAATAGACCGAGGCTCTTTGCCGAAGCCAACGGGCGCAAGATGCTCGCAGATTCTTTTTATTATTATTATATTTCCGATCAGATATAATTTGATTTACGTTTATAATACGAGTAACTTCAAACATCGATTCTTCGATGATTACTTTTGACTTCGCAAAATCTCACGAAAATCACATATTGCGCCCATCTTTTGGTATATAGCAGTGTAAAGACCTGTAGCCACTCGATGATATTGCTTCCGCTATACCATTTTCGAAAGCTACAAGGTTGTCAAGGAGTGGTGGTACATCTGGACAAGCGTCTTGATAAGTTCTCACTCGTTACATCCGATTCGTCATAGCCAACGCCAAAAATTTTGATTATTTGCGCCGTAGATCAACAATAAACAGTCGCTCGGCCGTTTTCTGGGCGAAGGACGAGTGAAATTTGTAGTCTCCGTGGAACGCAATACTTTGCAATCAGGATTCACGCATAGAGAAGGGACGTATAGTTCGTTATGCGAGCTGTGAACCACGCGCGATAAATTCTAGCTGACTGCCAGCAAACCCATAAATCGGCAGAATGATACGGACAAGTTAACAACTCGCTCGCGCGTTGGCCTATTGGGTAATGTGGCGTTAATCACATCTGTTCCAGGAGAATATATTCGAAGGCACGTTAAAAAATTAATTATAATAATATCGTGGAACAATATTAATCCTCGTTACGCGCTGATTTGTACTTCGTGAGCGCGACTGCAACGTTTAGTAGTCTTGGCGCAACGCGTGCGTTGATGCTGTGAACGCGAGAAACGATAGCAATTTTTCAATTCAAATCGTACGTTTCGTAAGAAAATTTCAATGTTGGAATGAGTCGAATGTTTATTACGGGACATTTTGTGGCTAAGTTGTAAAACTAATTAAAATTTATGTCTGAATCTGCGGAGACCTTCTATTAATTCTAGAAATAGTTAGAAATATATGCCGAATGCCCAGTGATTTTAGTCGGAGCAGGCACGCAGGCATCGAATCTTGTCTTTAAATTGAAATAATCTTCCCTCCAAATGATTCGGGGACAACGATGTAAACATTGAACACTTGATAAATGCTTCTCCACTGAAATCATTCGCATACGGATTAACCTCTTCGCACCTTTAATCTGCTAGAAATCCAATCGTACTTGGAAAAATCCAGATCACATTTCCCATTGGCGTATCTATGTGAATGTGAGAGAGATTGTATAAGCTTTCAAATATAACAACTTGTCTTTCACAGATCGACTCACTGCGATCTTTTCTCGAGGTCGTCGCTCGATCGCGACTTTCGATATGCAAATTGAAACTAGATATTAACAGGTCCTTAAGTTTATAATCATTTCTATTTTATATTTCAACTTTGTTCACGTTTGAACTATTTCAGTAGATTTAATTTATCATGACTCGTCGTGTTATTATTCAATCATCATTGTATAAGCAGACGTATATGAAACTAAGCCAACTTTGGTATAATATTGCAAAAAGAACTTAATTGTCGTAGCACTCCTCTACTCCTTTTTTGGTTACAAGAAATTATCTACAAAATTAATACTAGCACGATTTTCAAATTCGTTAAGTATGCTCTCGAAAAGGTAGTCAATTTATTGATTTCAACGAGCTTAATCTTTACAAGGATAAATGATCTAATTGCACATAACGTCATAATATTCAACCGCTTTGAAAAAATTTACTTATAATCCGGTGATAAATCGAAAAAGAAAATGACATTTACGATCAATCAGCAACAACCACAGACTCTCGTTGAATCTTAATTGGCGCCTTGCAAAATCAAATGAACAAGCGAGCAATTGGCGATTAATTAAAAGTAAAAATGTCACGTGATTTCTAAAAAAACCAAAAGAAAATGCGCCATTTCATTACACGGGCATTACAATCGATGCAGGATTCCGGAATCTAGTGGAGCTTTCGCACGGTCACAACTTCTACCCATACGTGTATATACTTTCACCCTGGAATCCCAAATGTCAAGGTATTCTTTAACAGGTATAAACCCGATAAATTTATCCATCGCTCTGGTTTTATGTAATGCACTCGTGTATACACGAGCGGCGTGCAATATCGTCGATCGTTTCTCAAGTGTTTGCCTTGTTGTTCTGCTCCTCGGCCGCCTATTATTTCATCGACTCGCCGCCAAAAATGGCTATTGATGGTTTTGCTGCGCTTTGTGTTATAAGCGATACGCGTCGCGCGATATGCGATTTACAAGCGAATTTCGAGATATTTAAGAGCCAATATACAATAAAACACACGCGATGTACATGCTCGTATCGTTCAATAGAATAACAAGGTTTATAATATGAAAAGCAGATTTTTAATTATGCAGCTTTTCACTTACTCATTGTAAATTATTCCCGTCGCTCTCTCGGTGCAGTTTGTTTCACTGTTTACCATGTGTCAATCCCACTCGAACATTCATTAGAGCCGCAACTGTATAATAGTTGGAATCGCGTAAATCGTAGTGCACATACACCCACAACATCTGCACACGCGCAACTTTCTATTTCTCATAGATTTCCATTGAATCGAGATTTAATAAACGAAACTTTTACTTGGCTAAAGCATCAATAATAATA